CATTCCTGAAGACTCACTGTCACAAAATCAGAAAGTCACTACAGAGAGGCTAAGTTCAGGTTACGATGGACAAAAAAATCACAAGCTTTGTGTGGCCACGCCAGTTCCTCTGGAGGAAAACACTCAGACATTTTCACAAGCCTACCAAGACTCAGTTAAACACCACGTTGCCAAGCCCGGCCCTGGCTCAGCCTTGGACACTTACCTTCTGTCTGAACCTGCCTCTAACCCCAGTTTGGACACAGAAACTGCTTCTGCAAGCCATCTCCAAAGTGGTGTGGGTTTAATCTGTGAGGCAGAGTTAACTCTGGACAACACTCAGAGAGCCAAGGCCAGGGCAGCCCAAGGAGACTACTATAATTATGCCACTTAGGCTGACTATTTTTTCACGTGCCCACATAACTAACGAAAGCAAAAGGGGACTGTGAGGCAATACCTTGCAGTGCTTAGGCTAAAGATGAGAGAGGAGCGCTGTAGCCCTGGGACCCTGGTGTCCAGGAACATCTGGTATATACAAGAGGCAGTACATTCAGGAGCTACGAGACAGAGGAAGCAGAAATTTCTGCCCAGGTCCCTCACTGCAGGAACCTGTGCTCACACAGGTCTCAGGGGTGGCTCACACTGTCCGGGAAATACCCACAGTGGGTTTTTAACAATGCCAGCACCCACTCTCCAAAATCCTGTCTTGCAGGAAGGCCTCAAAAGAAGGTCCACAGCAAAGATGGGGCAGAAGCGTTTGTTTATGATCTGTCCCTTGGACCGCTCTCCAGCCAAGGGTGCCACAAGCAGTGCCTCCTGGGCAGGCTGAGGATGGGAATGGGCACCAGCTGCAGGTCACGTAGTATCAGCCTCCACTGGGCAAAGGGACGGTCACATCTGTGTGAGCATGTGGCCAGGGGTCCAGCCAGACTCCTTGCTCCACTGCAGCAATGGGGAATGTGCTAGGGCATGGCTTGTGCCTGAGTTAGAGAAGAGAGCCAAAAGGGAAACAGGGACTCTCCCGGGGAGTTTTCTTACTCAGAAAAGGCATTTGTCAACACACTGGCCCAAACTTCTCAACAGGTCACTAAAATGCTACAGCAAACAGCAGCTGATGGCTCCAGAATGAGACTATTGCTGCTCAAACAGCCAACACAGCTAAGCAAACACACCACCAGGGCAGGGGCTGTGTTTGCACTCACTGTTTGCACTCCTCTATGCAGCTAATGGGATATTGCATTTATCCTAAGAAGGTTTGAAAAAAGAAAAAGAGAGAGAGAGAGAGAAATGGCTTCCTGTTGATCTCCTTCCAACTTCTTAGTTTCATGTATTGGCCAACCTGCCATTTTAGAAGACAGATTTATCCCTTATTAGGTAAATTGGTAACTGTTTGCTCTAGAATTATTTTTAATAGTGCTTTGTTAAATAAGGCCCTCTGGCATCACACTACATCCATCCTGGCTTTGGTTATCTCTAGGGTTTTTTCTCCTGTTAGGAGAATGGATATTTTATTGACATGTAAAAGGGTTACAAGGCAGGAGGAAATTAATTATACAAAGTAAAAAGGTAGAAAGCTAACAAAATGGTGGACTTGATAGATAAAGCAGGAAAATAAATCTAATTTGACTGTAACTCGAGTGCTTCTTGTTTATGAAGTAATAACTGTACGCTGGACTAAACCAGTGTTAACCCAGGACATGGCTGTTATTTTGTCAAATTTGGCCAACTCTAACAATTAAAAATTAGTGGCTCAGATTTCAGCTTTGGTGTGGTGATTATTTTGATGCCTGGTGGGAAATAAGACCATAATCTCCTAAAAGAGGACCTCTGTGAGGTGCTTTCTCTGAAAAGTCCCTGGGAAAGGCTCTGGCACAGGCCAGGGAAGATGGCATAGATATTTCCTGAGACTGTGCAGTGGTGTAGCACTGTGGGAGTCAGCCTCTTTGTTTTTCATTTCTTACTTTGTGTCCTCGTTGAGTCCCTGCCCCACCCCCCCTAACTATTTACTCAGCCAAAAATCCTCAGGCCCATTGGAGAAAATACCTTCAAGTGCTTTCCCTCTCTCCCCATAGGGTGGGGGTGATGGAGAAGAGGAAGAAATGGACCCTTGCATGCTGTATTTTTGAGGAAAAATCCCATTTAACAAGACAAGTATATAGCTCCTTTCTAGCAATAACAATATGGTATAATTCCAGTCTGGAGAGGGAAGCAGCATCCCTTCCTCTGCCTCTGGGACACATGTTCCTGGGCTGGGAATGAAAATGTTTCAGCCAGGGCCCAAAGACATCTGTTGCACAAGCACAGCACTTTGTTTCAGATCCCACAAATGTCCTTGTTCCAAGTAGGTCATTATATAATGGCTTTTGCCTTTTCCCATTGCCAAAAGGATCCCAGAGAATATGTTGTAACACCGTGCATCGCCTGCCCATGCAGTCCCTCCTGCGATCATCTCATCTGGGTGGGACTCTCTTGCTTGATGTCATTCAGTCCAATGCTGCTCTTATCAGCGCAACAAAAATACCAGGCCCCAATGCAGCAAACTCCCCCCGGGGATTTTGCAAGGGGTGCCCACTCTGGGGGCTCCTCTCATGCAGGGTACTCCCCTCTCCTGCTCCCGGCGCTGCCTCCAGGGCTTTCCTACCGCCTCACCCTGCCCTGCTGTGCCAGGAGCATCCAGCACCACACGCAAACACACTCAGACATAGAGGAGAACACAGACCAGAGCAAGGCTGCTCCTCCTGGATGACGTGCAATGGTTGCCTTTACATTTCCCTTTTGTGTTTGTTATTTCCTTTTTTTTTTTTTTCCTACCCTCCCACCCCACAGATGACTGTCATCTTCCTCTGCTCCTTTTCTCAGCAGTCCGTGAACAGTGAGAGCACAACCCTCATCATAGCAAAAGGAAGGAGGACTAGGGGTATTTGGTGTTCAGCAAAAGGAGAAGCAAAGACCAAGCCTTTTATCTTATTATTCAGGCATCTAGAAATCGTCATGGATCAAACTAGTTGCACTTTTCACTTTCTCCACAATGTGTACAGTTCTCAGGAGCTTTTCTGCATCAGGATGTGGCTGTATTTTTGGCTTCTGTTATGGCTGGCACTTACAGAAAGCCTTCTAAACAGAATAAAACAGGTTAGAAACAAGCTTGTCCTCTGTTCTGTAGTGAAGATGGCTCCTGCCCTCTCATGGCTGAAGGCAGACATGTAAAGCCACTTGTTTGTTCTTTGCAAAGAAATACCAAATACCATCACACGTGTTTCCTTCATCTGGCTCCACATAGTCTGGCATCACCGTCCTTTAACACACACTGACACAACTGAGAAGCTCCTCTGGGGCAGAGACCGACTGGTTGTCAGAAGCAAGTAGGCACTTAGCAATCCCCAACTGTGATCTCAAAGTGTTACCAAAGTACAAAGTGTAGGTAATAGGTAAAGTCACTCACTTGCTCACCTTTTTCACACAGTGCTAGTCTTTTTTCCGCCAATTAACCCACCTTTCCTGCATCCATCATGCTCTAAGGAACAAGAATTTCACAGGTTTCTCAGATGCACCAAGCAGGTTTTTGACAATAGACTAAAGACCAGGGTTGATAGTATGAATGAAGTTGTCCACTGTGTTCTTGCTACCTACTTGTTCAGTTTTCCTATTCCAAACCTATTAGCTTTTCCAGAGATTTGGTCATATCATTAGAACTTCCACTGTTTTGGTCCTTCTTTCTTTTTTTTTTTTTTTTTTTTT